GTGGAACCTTATATATATCATCTTGTTCGCCTTTTCTTCATCTTTTCCATTGAAAAACTAGAAAACTGAGAAAACCCACTTCTAGGTTCAACCAAATTATAGATTTTCTCGACTTTAGTTCTTGACAAAAGTTGTTCTACATGTTGAGCTCGTCATTATGGTATAATTTTTTTTCTCGATTTCGTATCATGTCACACTTTGGTTTTGGGAAAGCAAGGGTGTGGACATATTTTAATGTTTTGAGGTGTATTACGAGCATAAGATCAAGGTAAGACCCTTCTTTCATCGACTCTAGCTTTGCTAAGCCGAAAATAGCAATTTGCGACGAAAATACATTTCTTTTATCGGATTATCGTGGTGTCTTCTATTTTTGTGTGTTGATTATGGTCCTGCCTGTTGTAGTATCGAGGGGGTTATAAGTAAATGTCATTAGGCCACATGAATTCAGCGAAAAAGGTATGTTAAGGCTATTCCCTTCTTACGACATGTTTCCTTAAACCTTACGAGCAATGTAATTAGGTTGTTATCGTTGTTATCCTTGTGGCCATTATTTTTTATTGTTGGCTGCGTGAGTGGATATAATCCTCCCTTGTAGGGATTCTTATTCAGTTAGTAGCGTCCCTATGTTGGACATGACTTAGAGGCTATTCGTATGGGTTTCTTATAGATAGATTTCTCGCTTTTAGCCTATTGGATTATTATTGTTTCCCTTGGGGCTATATTGATGCCTAGAAGGGCTATGTTCTGCCTATGGGGCTATATTGATGCCTAGAAGGGCTATGAGTTTCCTACGGGGCTATATTGATGCCTAGAAGGGCTATGCGTTTCCTACGGGGCTATATTGATGCCTAGAAGGGCTATGAGTTTCCTACGGGGATATATTGATGCCTAGAAGGGCTATGAGTTGCCTACAGGGATATATTGATGCCTAAGATGGTTTTGTGTTGCCTACAGGGCCATGTTGTTGCCTAAAAGAGCTATGAGTTGTCTATAAGTTATATTGATGCCTAAGAGAGTTATGTGCTGCCTACGGGGGTTTATTACTGCCTAAGAGGGCTATGTTACTGCCTACGGAGTTAGAGGACTACCGATAGGGGTATATAGACTGATTGGCATCTTCTGGGCTTATGGGGTGCCTCGGTTGGTGGTCTTGTGTGCTGTTTGTACCTGTCGAGCTTATGGGAGCTTAGTTAGGTTGTTGTTTTATTATTTTTGACAAGTTTAGATTGAGGAGTAGGTTAGTACACGTATCTTATCCTTGATTTATTTATCGGATTACCCCAAGTATATTAGGATACTTGCTCACAGTTTATTACCTTTCATACTCGGTATATTGTTTCATACTGATTCCTCATTGCCTGGGCGTACTGCATTCATACATGTATGTCCCGAAAGATGACCCAGTAGACTTCCTCAGCACCTGGATTGACTTCTCTCTGATTGGCTAGCCCCTTTCTTCCGGAGCTGCCAAAGTTGGGAGGTTTGTTAGCTTTTGTTGTATATATTTTTATGGGTAGGTTGAGTCCATGTCCCACCAATCTTCACTACTCTTAGAGGCTTGCAAACTAGTGTGTGGGGTTTATAGCTAAGTTATGGCCATGCTGGCCTAGTTTGTTCGTTTGCTGAAGCTTGTTAGTTGTTTGATGTATTGCCTTGGTATATACCTGCTTTTAGTTTTGGTATAGAGACTATGGTGGCCTTGACGGCCTAATCAGGACTTCTGTGCTAGTTGGCTATTTCTTTATCTGAACTTTTAGGAGTAGATGTTTCTTTTATAGATCTGTTGACATGGACCTTGCCATCCGAGGGCTTAATTTTAAGTCGAGATATGCTTGTTTGTTTTCTTGATTGTGTGTGACTGCGATGCACTAGTAGCAAATAGTTCAGCAGGGTCGGTTCGAGGCTGAGGTTTGGCATTAGGATCCAGTTGTGCCCTGTGAATTTGGGGAATCACAAACATGGTATCATAGCAATGTCGTATCGTAGGGAATGTGTAAGCCGTGTTTAGTAGAGTCTTGTTTATAAATGTGTTGTGCACCACATTCGATAAGCATGAAACTATCGGGCATGTTAGAATCACTATCCTTCTTTTGCTCACCACGTGCTATACAGCGGTGTCTTAAGGGTTGAGGTTTCTGGCTTATAATTGATATTTGTATGCAGATAGGGATGGCTGACACCAGACATACCACAGCTAGCCAGGGGCTAGATACAACTGCAGGCGAGGGTACCGACAAGGTACCATATGTGGATGTAGCCCATTGTGATCCCCAGGGGAAGACATCTTCTCAGCCCCTATAGCTTCTCCTCCGTTTCAGGAGCCTACGAGAGCTACAGCACCCCGACTCCACCATCAGTACCACCTCTAGTACCTCATATTCCATCTGATCAGGATTTCAAGAGTGCAGTATGTATGTTAGCATAGTTAGTAGCTGCAAAGCGCCAGCAAGTTACGCTAGATGTTGCCGGACCTTCTGAAGGGCTCAGAAGTTCGAGAGTTCGTGAATTTCTTACCTTAAACCTCCACAATTTACAGGGATAGACCCCACAGAGGACCCTCAACACTTTGTTGATCAGCTTTATAGGATCTTCAGAGTTATGCATGCCTCAGTGACTGAGTCAGTTGAGTTAGCAGCATTTCGATTGCCCGATGTTGCAGTATTGTGGTACGAAAGGTGGGAGAGATCTAGGGGGAAACATACAGATCTACCCACTTGGGATAGCTTTACAGAAGCTTTCATATATCACTATTTGCCTCAAGAGATTAGGGATAGCCGTGTAATGACCCTTCCAGAATAATATAAGCCAATAACTCACGAGATTTTTGCATATATATATATATTGTCCTCACACTAGTAAAAATGATATAACAAGAATATTACCAACTTTCGAGTACCCAAACTAGGTGGTTCATGGTTCACGCAATCATTCAAAATTAGTGGTAAATTTAACATATTACAAGACTTGGGCTTATACACCCCAAAAGAACAAAACATAGAGTCATACTTATATTAAAACCCATGGTGACATGATCACATTAGTCCTCAAAATTTTATGTAAATATACACCACATAGATCATGTACAAGTCCCAAGGTTTATACAAAATATAAATGCCTATATGCAATTGTGATCTTCCATCACCAATGGCCAGCTTCATGCCTCCTCTCAATCATTCCCTACAATAGAAACAAGTATCGCTATGCATATATCTCAGTGGTGTAAAAACTATAGGTTCGGAGCCATCAGATTCACAAAACAACCTTTCTCAAGTCATGGGCAACATAATCGAACATAATAGATAAATCAATTAAACAATATATCAACAGTATTAAGTTCGATATCTATAGGTCCAAATGTCAAGAAAGTTCATAGTACCATTTTTCAAAAGATTCAATAACAAGGCTCGCCCAATATGTACATCATCACTTCACACCAAACATAATCAAGTATCAAGAAGAGCCGACGCCCTGTATCAAGAAGGGTCAAAGACCAATATTCAAGAGAACCAAGAACCATATTAAAATTGGCTTTCTAGTTCGTACTTAAAATGGACAACTTCCATTCTTAAGACGGACTAAAAATCCAGAGTCAAGATGGCAAATGATCCAAATCAAGAGGCATGCCAATAGTGACAAAGTCACAACCACAAGAAGGACAAGGTCCCAACAAGAGTACCAACTGATCAAACAATCCGTACAAGTGGGCGAGTTACACAAGCGTCTTTAACGTCTTAAAAGATACCAACACGACAATGTAAAGTGACAAGAGGTAAGCAAGGTACCAAGATCAACCTTCAGATATGCCAGCAGTTAAAAGAGTACAAATACAAGTTTATACACAAACCTTAGTGCTTTAGCAAAGAAACAGTCCAACACAACTTCAAGAGTTCAAACCGTAGACCAACCAATGTATTAAGGTCCTCAACTGGTTCACGAGTATATTCAACCTTTAAAATACAATTAAATAACTTATTTAATCCCTAGTAGCTCAATAATATTGATGTAAAACAGGATTATCATCACAACTAAGATTAGCTTGTACAAACACAACTATGCTCCTAAAACAGTGATTCTGGCCAGTCTAGTACCTCATGTCGCAACTTAGATTTGAAAAGGAAAATGGCACAACTAGACCTTATAGCCTTCATAAAAGATGTAGCTACATATCTTAAGGTTGCAAAGAAACAAGAATGACCACAAAATATATTTTGTACAACAAGATATAGTCAAAACACTAACAGTTGTTCATACAGGATTTGAAATTCCAAAATCTGGACAGAACTTGTCCTATGTTGCGTCCAATATTTCGAATCCATAACAGCTAAATCAGAGTTTTACATAAATATAAGAGTTGCAGGTCTACAAATAGATTTCCGAATCATATTTATTCACTGTAAACTAAGTTCTATAGCGAGAGATATGCATAAAATACCAAACACTACCCAGCCCAGAAACAGATTTCGTCACTTACCAACAAGAAGTGTGTGTTCTTGAATACCAGCCAAAAGGGCCAAGTTTTTCTTTTGTAATTTTGAATAACAACTGATTAAAGAAGGCTCTAAGGTTTTTAGACTTGAAAAAAAAAAACAAATTAACTCAAGGAGGTGAAAATATATATAGTCACACAAGTGATGTTTATCACTTGTACAACTGTCTCCAAAAAGGGCTGCCCAAATAGTTGTGTGCTGCCCAAAATGCATACATATACACCTATATATATATATACACACACCTATATATATATCCCCCATCTCCTTTTAAAGTTATACATAATTCTAATTAGAATATTACGAAAATACCCTAATACAATACCTTAAATTACGATCACAATTTATGTTAAGCAAGTTAGCAATTATCACAACATTTCAAGTTCCCAAAATGAGACTAAAACATATTCTAGTAATTAAGCAACAGTAAATCGACATGTGACTATTGGTTAGTATTTAGGGGTGTTACAATTCTCTCCCTCTTAAAGAATTCGTCTCGAAATTTACCTTACACTAGTCCCGGAACAAGTGCGGAAATTGGGTCCTCATGTCTTCTTCTCTTTCCCAGGTAGCTTCCTTTCCAGAATGGTTCCTCCAAAGCACCTTTACTAAGGGAATTCTCTTGTTTCTAAGTTTATTTACTTCTCGAGCTTCAATCCGAATAGGTTCTTTATTATACGTCAAGTCAGGATTAACCTCAATAGATTCAACTAGACGAACATGCGATGGATCATAACGATATCTTCTAAGCATAAAAACATGAAAGACATTGTGGATCTTCTCCAACTCCAGTGGCAAAGCTAATTTATATGCAACTGGTCTAATCCTTTCAAGTATCTCATAAGGTCCAATGAATCGGGGACTAAGTTTTCCTTTTTTTCCAAATCTCATAATCTTTTTCCATGGAGACACCTTTAAGAATACTTTATCTCCCACTTGATATTCAATGTCAAGCCTTTTAAGATCAACGTACAACTTTTGTCGATCCGAAGTAATCTTTAGACGATCCTTGATAATTTTTACGTTGTCCTCTGTTTGTTACACAATTTCAGGACCAAGAAGCTTTCTTTCACCAACTTCACTCCAACAAAGAGGGGTCTGGCATTTCCATCCGTATAGAGCTTCATAGGGAGGCATTCCAATACTCGATTGGTAGCTATTATTATAAGCAAATTCTATCAAAGGCAAGTGTTTGTCCCAACTACCTTCAAACTCCATAATACAAGCTCGAAGCATATCCTCCAAAATTTGTATCACTCATTCCGACTGGCCGTCTGTTTGAGGATGGAACGAAGTGCTAAATTTCAACTTAGTACCCAAAGCTTCCTGCAAGCTACCCCAAAATCTAGATGTAAACCTTGGGTCTTGGTTAGATACAATAGACATAGGGATACCATGTGGTCTTACAATCTCACTAATGTACAATTCAGCTAAACGCTCAAGTGAGTAATCCATCCTGATTGCTAAGAAGTGATCACTCTTGGTTAACCTGTCCACAATCACCCATATTGCATCATGATTTCTCTGAGTGCGAGGAAGTCCAGACACAAAGTCCATAGTTATCCTCTCCCATTTACATTCCGACATCGACAAGGACTGTAGTAAACCAACTGGGACTTGATGTTCTGCCTTTACTTGTTGACAAACCAAACATTTGGAAATGAATTCCGCATTGTCTCTCTTCATACCATTCCACCAATAATGTTCATTGATGGTCTGGTACATCTTTGTACCTCCAGGATGCATTGCATATGGTGAAGTATGTGCTTCATTCAATATTTTTCTCCTCAAGTTGTCATCATTAGGGACGCATAACCTGTTCTGATAAAATAAGACACCATCCTCTGTTAATGTAAAATCCAACTTTTCCCCATTTTGAACTTCTCTGGTCAATTTTACAAGTTTCTCATCTATCTTTTGTGCTTCTTTCACCTGTTCAAGTAATATTGGCATTACTTGCAAATTAGCAATAACTGAACCATTTGAATCAGGTGTAAAACAAACATTCATGGCTCTTAACTCAAGGAGCAAGGGTAAATGACTCAAAGAAATGCTTGCAAAGGATTTTTGACTTAAGGCATCTGCAACCACATTGGCTTTACCTAGATGATAATCAATTGTGCAGTCATAATCCTTGATGAGTTCAAGCCATCTACGTTGTAGAAGGTTTAGCTCCTTCTGGGTACCCAAGTAGTTTAAGCTCTTATGATCAGTGAATATATGACATTTCTCTCCATACAAATAATGCCGCCATATTTTTAAAGCAAACACTACATTAGCAAGTTCAAGATCATGGGTAGGATAATTCAATTCATGCGGTTTTAATTTATGAGAGGCATAAGAAATAACCTTCCCTTCTTGCATCAAAATGCATCCTAGACCATTGTGAGAAGCATCACTGTATACTACATACTCTTTCCCTTCAATTGGTAGAGTAAGTATAGGCGCTTGAGTCAACAAGGATTTGAGAGTTTTAAAGCTCTCTTGGCATTTGTCATCCCAAATAAACTTTACTTCCTTCTGCAAGAGCTTAGTCAAGGGAGAGGCGATAATGGAAAAGCCTTTCACAAATCTTCTGTAGTATCCTGCTAAGCCTAAGAAACTTCTTACCTCGGTTGGACTTTTGGGAGGTCTCCATTCAACAACTGCTTATATCTTACTAGGATCCACCTTCATGCCTTCAGCTGATACAACATGTCCCAGAAACATCACTTCATCAAGCCAAAATTCACACTTGGAAAGTTTAGCATAAAGTTCCTTCTCCTTCAAAATTTCCAAAATAATCCGGAGGTGTTTATCATAGTCTTCACTACTTCTGGAAAATATTTAAATATCATCTATAAAAACAACCACAAACTGATCTAGATAAGGCTTGAATACTCGATTCATTAGATCCACGAATACCGCAGGAGCATTTGTCAATCCGAATGGTATCACCAAAAATTCATAATGACCATATCGAGTTCTAAAAGCAGTTTTAGGAATATCTTCCTCTCTAACACGCAGTTGGTGATATCCAGACCTTAAATCAATCTTTGAGAATACTTTAGCACCCTTCAGTTGGTCAAACAAATCATCGATCCTCGGTAGTGGATATCTATTCTTGATTGTTATTCTGTTCAATTGTCAATAGTCAATACAAAGCCTATGAGTGCCGTCTTTCTTCTTTACGAATAAAACAGGGGCTCCCCAAGGAGAAACACTAGGTCGAATAAAACCTTTCTCAAGAAGTTTTTGCAATTGATATTTCAATTCCATTAATTCTGTCGGAGCCATCTATAAGGAGTGATAGAAATAGGGGTAGATCCAGAAATAAGCTCGATTGGAAATTCAACCTCTCTTTCCGGGGGCAATCCAAGAAGGTTTTCTGGGAAGACTTCTAGAAAATCACATACAACAGGTATGTCCTTAATACAAGGACTTTTCAACTGTGTATCAACTATGTGAGCAAGGTATGCCCTACAACCTAGACGCATCAACTTTCTTGCCAAGGCCGCAGAAATAATACTAGATGTCAATGATCTTTCACTTTGTACAATATTGTGTGAAAATGTCAGATCTTTAAAGGTAACATGCTTTGACCTACAATCTACCACTGCATGATATTTATGAAGCCAATCCATCCCGATAATAACATCAAAATCCTTGAAGGGTATTTCAATCAAATCAGCAGAGAAGACTAGGTTTTGAATCACGAAGGGACAATCACGATAAATTCGATTACACACAACCTGATAACCCAAAGGACTTTCAACCAGAACATCATAATTAAGCCTCATAGATTTCACATTTTCGAGAAGAACAAGTGATGAACAAATATAAAAATGTGTAGAACCATGATCAAACAGTGTAAACACACATAAGCCAAATAAGTGAAATTTACCGACAACCACGTCTTGTCCATCCTGCTCATCCCTCTGCCTCATAGCATAAGCGCATGAAGTAGTCCTTTGTCCACTAGCTTGATTAGCTCCACTTGTACCTGCTGCTTGGGTGTTTTTAGGTCATGCACCTCTATTAATTTGAGGAGGATTAATAGAAGACTTATGAACTGAGCCTTCAGTTCTCAAGGAAAGAGCATTATTAGGATTAGGACATTCCTTCACTTTATGATCAAAGCTCCCACAATTGAAACATGCATCAAAAGCTCTCCTACAAGTACCATAATGATTCATTCCACATTGCGGACAAGTGGGAACACGAGGCTTGCCTTGGCCATAAGTTGGAGTGCTAGATATAGAAAAATCTGATCTGTTTTGCTTTTGTTGCGGTGGCCTGTTATCACTACTAGCCTTAGAGTTATCAAACCTTCCCTTTTTTGATGGACCCCCAAAATCTGGTCTAGGCTTCCGGAATTTGTTTTCATTTCTACTAGCTTCTTCTTTATCAAGTCGCTCCCAAGTAAAAGCAGCAGACACTAGCTTACAAAAGTTCTCATGTTATAGGATCGCCACATTCTTTCTAATGGAATCATTTAAACCATCTTCAAATTTCCTGCACTTGTCTTTTTCTTCTTTAATAATACCTCCAACATAACGAGAGAGTCTTAGAAACCTCTGTTGGTACTCAACAATAAACATACCTCGCTGCCTTAAATTCAAAAACTCCTTTCTCTTTGCATCACAATAAGCAGGTGGGACATACTTCATACGAAATTTCCTTACAAAATCATCCCAAGTAAGAACATGAGGTTTTACCTTGGCATTTGGAACACTTACCCACCAATTGTAAGCATCCTTTTGTAATAATGAAATAGCATATTTAAAATTGGCAACATCTGAACACTCTATCTGCTCAAATACCCTCTCAATGCGCTCCATCCATTATTCAGCATCTGTGGGATCAACGATGCCTTCAAACTCCACTCCACTCCACCCATTTTCCTCATTTTCTGAAAGTTAATCACGTTGGGATCATGCATCGCTTCAGCCATGTGGTGGAAGAATTCAGCCATTTGTTGAAAATGAGGATTCATGGATTGAGTACTACGACTCATGTGAGGATGTGAACTAGCTCTTACACCCTGATGGTTTCCCACTTCAGACCCACTAGTGTGGGGAACATATTGATTCGAGACAGGTTCTCCAACCTCTTCTAGTGCATGAGCTTGGGGAACAGAGGTACCCGAACCTTCACGAGCAGTTTCCATAGGTCGGTTAGAAGAAGAGGCCGTAACTTAATTCCTTCAAAAGGGAAGATCACATTGCATTAGGGACATCTACATGACGCATGTGCACTCTACATGCGATAAAAAATATTTTAAACTATGTAAGTGAACAAATAATCCAAATAAAACCTTTTTCAAATGTGAACAAGTATACAAGTAATTCACAACAAAAGTCCTAGAACCACAAATCTAGGCTCCGATACCAACACTAGTAACGACCCTTCCGGAATAATATATGCCTATAATAATATAAGCCAATAACTCATGAGATTTTTGCATATATATATAGTCCTCACACTAGTAAAAATGATATAAAAAGAATATTACCAACTTTCGAGTACCCAAACTAGGTGGTTCATGCTTCACCCAATCATTCAAAATTAGTGGTAAATTTAACATATTACAAGACTTGGGCTTACACACCTTAAAAGAACAAAACATAGAGTCATACTTATATTACAACCCATGGTGACATGATCACATTAGTCCTCAAAATTTCATGTAAATATACACCACATAGATCATGTACAAGTCCCAAGGTTTATACAAAATATAGATGCCTATATGCAATTGTGATCTTCCATCACCAATGGCCAGCTTCATGCCTCCTCTACATCATTCCCTACGATAGAAACAACTATCGCTATGCATATAGCTTAGTGGTGTAAAAACTATAGGTTCGGAGCCATCAGATTCACAAAACAACCTTTCTCAAGTCATGTGTAGCATAATCGAACATAATAAATAAATCAAGTAAACAATATATCAACAGTATCAAGTTCGATATCTAGAGGTCAAAATGTCAAGAACACTCATAGTACCATTTATCAAAAGATTCAATAACAAGGCTCGCCCAATATGTACATCATGTCTTCACACCAAGCACAATCAAGTATCAAGAAGAGCCGACGCCCTGTATCAAGAAGTGTCAAAGACCAATAATCAAGAGAACCAAGAACCATATTAAAATTGGCTTTCTAGTTCGTACTTAAAATGGACAACTTCCATTCTTAAGACGGACTAAAAATCCAGAGTCAAGATGGCAAATGAT